AAATTATCCAGTCTCTTCTCACAGATACAGGGGTAGAATTGATCACAGATATCATTATCCAGTCTTGCTCTAGATAAAAATGCACATCTTCCAGTATTAAGATCGAATTTTGCTGTGTTCAAGTCACTAAAGTACAAAAACAATAGGCAATTACTTAATTTTGAACATTCACTGAAATGTCATGATTTTAAATTTTCTATTTGCCAAAATATACAAAATATGTAACTATTAATCATAAATTCATCACTAAAATGTTTTTATTCCCTCAGCTCATTAAAAAGAAATGATCTCTTGATCATACCAAAATCCTCATTTTATTCCACACTTGCAATTTTTGATCAGCAGGTAAAACTGATTTTTATTATTTCCAAGGAATTATTTTATCCTAAACCTTCTTTCCCACTTATATTTTGTCAATAAATGTGCAAGGTAATAAATAAATATGTGTAGCACACAGAACAAGGTTTCATATGCTTGCGTTTTAAGGAGAGAGGGAAGATTTGGAATACAGGCACAGATGAAGGCTTGTAACTCATATTTTGGTTTTATTTTCCCTTTCTTCTTCCCCCACCTCATAGCTAATAGGTCTTTTCTTTTCTTTTCTTTTTTTTTTTTTTTTTTTTTTGGTTTTTCGAGATAGGGTTTCTCTGTGTAGCTTTGCGCCTTTCCTGGGACTTGCTTTGTAGCCCAGGCTGGCCTTGAACTCACAGAGATCCACCTGGCTCTGCCTCCTGAGTGCTGGGACTAAAGGCGTGCGCCACCACCGCCCGGCAGGTCTTTTCTTAAGCATGGTAATCTACTGCATTCCCTGTATGGAACACAACTATGATTTCTACAGGATTGTATATTAGAAGCCATAATTATCCTTCTGTGAAAAAAAATTAAATGCAAAATAAAAACATATTTAAAAATTTTAAAACTGAGCAAATTAATACATAAGCTAAAACAGAAGGACTATTACTTCCAGTTTAACCTGAGCTATGTAGCAAAAGCAGAAATAAAAGTAATTAATTAATAATTAAGATCATCCTGTAAAAATTGACAGAAGTCAGATTCCTGCTCAGGCTGAGGTGTTAGCAGACGCTGGGGAAAAAAAATCTCAAATGGTCAGAGAAGAACTGTAGTCAGTTTTACTCCTAATGGATAGAGGAAGCCGACTACAGAATGAATTCAAAATGGAGATCCTCAATAATAAATCCAGCCTGGCATTGTTGAACACAATTATAGTTCCAGTGTTTTGGAGATGAAGGTAGGAGAATCACAGTTCAAGACATAGGGATTTGAGGCACACATCAATACATAAGGAGTTTGAAGCAAGTGTGGAATAATAAGACTCTGACAAAGAAAGACAGAAAGAGAATGAAACCCACTCACAGTACATGGAACTGAGAATTCAAAGGAATCATATTTTTTAGCAAAATAAATCATGTTCTTTGAATCTTGGATTTAAGATGGAGAGAAATGGAATATTCAAATTTACCATAGGAATTTAGAAGAAAAGAAGGTAAATGAAACCAAGTGGCTTTTGGGACACAGATAGACAAGGTTAGATACATTAGGAATAGAATATACATTAGACAGCCATGAGACATGCTCATGGGTACAGTCAGGAAATCATGTGTAATTATTTAATGTGTAAATGGAAGAAATGACACAGAAGATGTCAACTGTTAACAAAAGATATTTACTAAAAAGAAAAATGTATGCTTACACAGTGACTTGTACACAAATTGGCATGATAGCTTTCATAATTGCATTTACTCATAATTGTCAAAACTTAGAGGCACACTATATGTTCACATATGGAGAAATATTGTGGTATATTTGTGTAATACAAAAGTGCTTTATAACAAAAAGAATGAATCAAAGGTTTGTGAATGCTAAGAGCCATGCCATTATACAACAGATAGCAACTGATAGTTCAAGTGTTAACACACCAGATGAATAACTTGCTAATGGAAGAACCCTGTTCAAGCAAAGCTGTTGCTGGAGGGCTTCTCTCCAGGTTCTACCAAGCCCCACAGTCCCACAATCCACGTATAAAATAATCACTCAGATGCTTATATTACTTATAAACTGCATGGCCATGGCAGGCTTCTTGCTAACTGTTCTTTAACTTAAATTATCCCATTTTTATAAATCTATACCTTGCCACGTGGCTGGTGGCTTACCGGCGTCTTCACATGCTGCTTGTCCTGGCACTGGCTGCAGTGTCTCTCCCCCCTTCTTCCTGTTTCCCCAATTCTCCTCTCTCCTTGTCACGCCTATACTTACTCTCTGGTCACTGACCATCAGTGTTTTATTTATATAGAGCGATATCCACAGCACAAAGCTAATGGTGCTACAAACTCTGAACACTATTACTTCTGTCTGTAATGTTACATGTACAAAAACAGCTGTGGCATCTCCTTAATACCTGCACTGTAATGAGTAATCTCATGTGTTGTATATATTTAATCTCATGATTATATCTAAATCTTATGGGCACATATAGCTGTATAATTTTAATGACTAGAAATAATACCAGCATATATTTCATAACTAAGACTCCATAAGAAAGTAACAGTATTCTCAGCTGCAAAAACAGATTTTTTTTTAGCTGATTTTAAACCTTAGAGCAAATTCAAAATGAACTAGTTGCCCCTGCAAAATAGGCACAAGGACAAATTCCCAAGTGATTGTTGAACTAAAATCAAGCACAAAGCAACTTTAGTACATATAATTCTCTCAGAAATTGACTCTCTGAACATACTTCCAACCTCAGTTTATGACACAAGACTCAAGGTTCACCCATTGAATTGTTTATTGTTTAAGTCCTGAATTTCAGTGTCACTTTCTGTTGGGAAATGCTGACCACTCAGCCTATGTGCCTCCTGCCTGCTCACCAAGGAGATTGGCTGACAGCTAAGTATTGCCACTCACTGGCTGGCTGGTCAATGTGACATTACTAGCCTGAAAGAAACTATGATTCTCATATGTTATTGAATGGCTCTGACCCTCATAATATAGCTCATATATTTGTTCAGAATGTTCTTCACAGAGAGAACTGCTGCTATGAGAGGAGTTGTGAGAGAAAGCTATAAGAGAGAGCTGTGTGGACGGGAAGATGAGTAGTTATGAAGAAGAGAGAGCTGTGTAGAGAGATGGAGCAATATCTGTATAAAGATGTGTGTAGGAGATATGTGAAAGAGAGATGTGTAGAAGAGGGATGAATGTAGAGTGAGGAAGTCAGGGAAGAATTAAACTGAGCAGGAACACAATCTCATGCTTGCCATTGGCGATGACAGAAGAGCAGCAGATGGCAATTGACTTCAGGGGATTGGCTATCAGGAAACAAAACCTTGATGGGTGAATTTCAGATAGAAAAGACCATGAGACCACAGACCCCAGAATGTCTTTTGATTCTGCTGGACCTTCACATGCTGGCTACTGCCATGATCCTCTGGTATCTGGCATGGAATGAATGGGCATGGGGAGATTCCCACTTCCCTTAATGTAGTATGATCATCTCTTGGAAATATCCCATTCTACTGGGCATTTTTACCTGGGAATTATTTTGGAGATGATATCCTCCTAAACTGTACTGTTTAACTGAAGTAATGATTTTATCAATAATAGTGTTAATTTGAATGGAATTTGATGATTGCGGGTCTTTAATAAATATAGGAAGACATTATGATGGAGATTATTTTAGTGGAAAAATTAACATAGGTAAAGGAAGGATAAAATGTTGCTTGCCCCTGCCTCTGATAAAGCAGGGGCTACAGAAAATAAGAAATAAAACAAGAAATTGTCACACAGCCAAAACACATGAGTTTCAATTGAGGAACCATATGGACTGTGGCTAAGGTTAAGATTAAATAAAACAAATGAGTCCCAGTAGCCCAGATAACTTAAATTCTTTTCATCTTAATGTAGAGAGATTGTTCACAGGTTTCAGTCTGCATCATAGCTGAAACAAAGCCTTAAAATAACTTCAGGTTAAAGTAGGATGTTTTGATAATAGCTTTGAAATGAAAAACCCTAGAAAACAATCTAAAGTTCACGAGGACACATAGCTAACTCAGTGATTAAAAAACAAAGCAGCCCAATTATTACTAGCTGAAGTACTTTCTTTGTTAGGCTTGATTTTGATCAAAGATGTTAAATAATTCCTTGTATACATTTCTACCCGCAACCTCCTGATTTAAAAAAAAAAAAAAATTTGATGAGTGGATATGTACCCTAAATATTTAAAGTAGGGCTAATTAATTGTTTTCCATATGTAAAAGCTTAGGTTTGTGATTCTTTTAAAATTTCTTTAAAAATTATCTTTTAATATAAGTAATAAAAGTGATTGATTCTTTGTATCCACAATATGAAGCTTGCCAGCAAAAAAAAAAAAAAAAACTGGCTGAGAAAAATACCATGGTTGCTCATATCCTGTTAATCTATAACAAGTTACTTAGATGTAAATGTATGTGAGTTCTTGGGATGACTTTGTTTTAATCATGTAAGAGAGATGAAAAACTTTTTTCCTGTATTGAATATAATCATTTATTTGAAAAATAGAATGTATCCCTGTGGGATGTCTTTCTGTGTGCTGTGAATATGTTTTATTACCATTAGTTAATAAAGAAGATGCAGAGATAAAGGGAGAAGAGGGCAGAGTCTAGGAGAAGACAGTGAACTGCCCAAAAAACAAGATGTGAAGTACCAGTCAATCACCAGCCACGTGGTGATACATAGGTTAATAGAAATGGGTTAAGATATAAGAGCTAGCTAGTAGTAAGCATGAGCTACAGACCAAAGAGTTGGTAATTATATTAAGCTTCTGAATGGGTATTCAGAAACAGGCAGGCAGGAGAGATTAATCTGTCTACATTTGGTGCCCAGGTGTTTGGCAAGTTTTTCTGCATAATACCCGAGAGAGTTTTAAAAAAAGAGAGATTCTAAAACAGAGCCAGAGGTGGTTTCCTAGTTTATGTCTCTCAATACAGGCCGAGGGACAGAACTGCATCCCCTGGCCATGGTGGGCCTCAGCTGAACATCGTGTCCCGCAGTCTCTCACGGGCTGAGGTATAAAGAAGCTGCTTCAGCTGCTGCCTGCAGGCTTGAGAGCACAGCTGCATGATACTTAATACTGC